CAGTAGAAGTGTTTAGTATTAGTTCAATTTGTTTCAGTATAGCCAATCCTTCTTCATTACTATTGCTAGTTGAACTCTCCTTGTAAGATCCTATCATTTCCTTTAGCATCGTCAGTTGGAGTAGACTAGTGACACTCGTTATACTCTCACTCACTCCATTAGATGATCCTTTAAGCTGATCACTGATATTAGTCAGTGAATTCTCAATGAAAGACAAAGTAGTAGGATTAACACAAGTACCATCAAGTGTACTACTGGCAGATAATGAATAAGAGGTCATACAAAGAACCAGTAGAATAGAATACATCTTCATTCCTCACTGTAATGAAACTGTGAGATGAAACACTCAAACGGACTTATTTATAGTTTCGCTGCATGTTTATGCATTAGAACAAGCTACATGTAAATAAGTAATTAGTGATTTCTCAGATCTCTCTTTCATATTACCACAATTGAGACACTGTACAGACAATATGACTAGACATGTTATTCTCATTTAAGAGAATAACAACCTTTTAAACCACATTCAGGGGTGTACGTAGGAATCTGGAAAGGGGGTGCTGATGGCGCGCGAAGTGTGCTGCAATTTTGGTCACACCCACTTTTACGGCGGTAAAACGGCCTTTTTCTGCATTTTCGTCAATTACGGGTGGGGCCAAGATCATTTCCATGTTACTGGTATTTCTGATTGCTCCTTAAAGCACTGGAAACTGCTGAAATAATGATAAGGGGGCTAGATAACTTTGCTAAGAGGCTTGGTAGTGATGTAAGAGTCCAGGATTGGAGTAATTTTTTCTGAGCCCAGCCATGAGGAGGGTGCTCAAGCCTCCTCAGCCCCCCCTAAATACGCCTCTGACATTATAATCTAATAATGAACCCTCTCCTAATACTCTACTATCAGGTGCTCATTAGTCCAGCCCTTACTGGTTAGTAGTCAATTAAAGAACATGACCATTGTTTGTAGAGTTCAAGCCTCTCACTCACTCCACAGCTGTCCTACATAAATCCCTCAGTCCAGCCCTTCCTTTGTACTAGTAGCAACAAAGATAACCAAATCCTTTAGTCTTAAGCCTCATTCACACAAAACAATTAATCATATAAGTGGTAACATGTACATGTAGATACAGCAAAGAAACCAGTATGTACATCTACTATACTGGACTGGATTGCTGAGTTTTATCCACAAATAAATTACATGTACGTGTACATGTAGCATAAAAATTATGACCAGAGTACTGATAAGTATACATGTACATGTATAACTAAAATAAACTGAATTCGCAGTGATATGAAAATTGTATTTAAAGTACGGTGATACTTGTACATGTGTTTCCAGCTATTGGTACATGTACATGTAATTTCCACTAACCATAGATATTCCAGTCTCTTGTCATTGAGTGTCTGATAATCGACCTCTCTCTGGGCCAGGAGTTTCTTCAATAGCTCCATCCTTTCATCCTGTATTGCTTCAATCTCTTTCTCACGATAGCTCCACTCAAGGCACTCCTGTTCCTCCATCATGCGTCTAACAAAATAATAATAACAACAATAATAATAATAATAATAAAACTATATTTGTAATGCAGATTACACTGCACAATTATTAATATCATATCATGTACATGTACATGTAAAAAGAGTCAACTAAGTCCATGCTCCATAGTATTGTTATAAATGTGCATTTATTGCTAAAATATGCTGCTTGTACTTGTACATGTACATATATGTACGATATGTTGTACAGTCTTTACCTTCTCTTTTCTATTTGTGTCATGTCATTCAATGGTGGTAGCGTGGCCTCCCATACTCTCTTAGCTCTTGCTCTCTCTATAATCTCAACCTCAGCTAATCCAGCAGGCAAACCACGACCTTCAATAAAAGAAGAGAACACAAAAAAGCTTCATGGTCATGTACTATAGTGTACATGTACATGTATTATTCTTATGTATATTAGCACTATTGTGCTTATTGATCACACATTATGTATTCTCTCTCCCCCTTACCATAGCAAAGTGATGCTATAGTCAATAGCTCAGGCTGTGATCCTGGCCTAATGACAAACTCTGGTGAATAAGGATCAGTCTGTGTCTCACTGTCCCTATAGTCAGTCTGAATGTACACACTCTTTGTTGCTGGAGGAGCAAGTGAGAGCTCCAACTTATCCTTACTAGTAATCATCCTAATTAAAAGAGAAATAACATTAAATTTTAAAGAATACATTACATGCCTCATTATAGATATTACATGCATTATATAGAAAATATAATCAAAATAATTATTCTATTTATCATAATAGTTCTTGTGCTTACTGTTGTGGTGCTAGTACAACTGTTGGTGGCATTTGAGGTAGGAAGGGAATGATGGGTCTCCTGAAGAACTTGTGACGATCCTGTCCCTCAACATCAGTTGGTGGATAGTATTTAGGTGGTAGCCTTACCAAAGGATCATAATTGAACCTAAAAATAATTCAATCTCAATAATCATGCATTAGAATTTTGATGAAATTTTTATTTTGATCATAATCATGTTGGTGGATTTAAAATTGCTCCAAAAATACCATGAACTACATTATGCATTATAGTACAAGGTAATTTGTCAAAAATCACCAAGATAGAATTTGCAACTTTTAGAATTTTTTCCTGATACATATACACGTTTTTATTTTATGTAGAAAGTTTGAACTGATTCCAGTCAAATTTGGATTTTTAAGGAATTTTTAAAGTTGCTCAAAATTTGAACAAAAGACCCAATTATTGTACATGTATACTAGCATGCATTATTATAAAGAGCTTCACCTGGTGTATCTGAGGATAGTCTCCCTGGCTTGTTCAGTGTAGCCAGTCCAGTAACGAGGGACATGTTTAGGAACAGGATCAGTCATGTCAAGCTTGAGGGTCTGCCTGGGATAATGACGGAGACAACTGAACATTGTCTTATAGTTAGGAGAGCTGTACTGTTATGGCAGAAATGAGCTCAAATTATACTATCAATGAGGTATCCTACCAGTTTATCAGCACTAGTCTGTGATTTATAAGTCTCCTTTGCATGATCTTTTTGACTGGATAGAGTGAACACTGGGTCTATTTAAGGATAATTTATTATTAGAGGTATTGTTTAGTGAATTTTTCTTACCGTATAAGTAATCATAGTTGCGCTGGGGCCTCACAAAAGGTCTTTGAACAGTTTGAGTGACGGTCGCCATTTTGTTAGCCAATGTGTGTTGCTAAGCAACGTCGAGGGTGTGATAAACCGCGCCCATCAAATTGTTGCTAAGCAACATTGGTGGGTGGAGCTGATTTGAGCCCCACCCACGTGATGCAACAATGTCTAACAGCATGGTGGTGGTATTGCTCAGATTTCCAGTTGGGAAGATGCTTTCATCAATAGTGAGTTTATTTATGGACTTTTTGCTAATTCTTTATTTTTAACAGAGGCATACTGGCACCAGGGGATTATTTAAAACCTCCCAATCACCTGGTTTGACCTCCAGTTCATTAAGACAGTGTCTAACCAGAAGCTTTGCTAGTGACACACTAAGCAATGGTACTAGGGAACTAAAGAGAACTGATCGTATTGTTGGATACTGGTTGGGTGGGTGCTGTGTCATGGTCATTGGATCTGTCATCATAGGTGGGAATAATAATTATAATAATAATAATATTTAATATTTTTAGTTGTAAATTTTTTCAATTAATTGTTGTATGATTATTGTAACAGGGGGCCTAACAAGACTGACAGAGTCTGGTCTGAGTATGACCAGATGGCACATTATAAAAGGAATGAAGCCACCACGAGGAGAAAAGGAATGGAACGAAGAATTTGAGAGATACAAGCAGTTTCCAGAATATGAATAGTAAATTCGATGCAATAATTTTTATCAATAATTATTAATATTTTTTAAATATTTTCTCAGTGTTCATAAAGATATCACTCTTGCTGATTTTAAAAGGATATTCTACATGGAGTATATTCACAGAATGTGGGGACGGGCTATTGGTCTTACCTTTGCTCTTCCGGCAGGTTTCTTTCTCCTTAAGAAGTGGGTGCCCAAACACGTTAAACCCCGTCTTGGATTTTATGCTGGTGTTATCCTATTCCAAGTAAGGAAAGGTCTAAAACCTTGCGTACTCTTAGTAATAATGTCAATTTCTTTTATGTCAGGGATTGCTGGGTTGGTATATGGTGAAGAGTGGTCTAGAGTCTAAGCCCAAGTCACCCGGTGATGTACCACGTGTCAGTCAGTATCGTTTAGCAGCTCATCTTGGCACTGCCATCTTCCTCTATTCATCAATGCTCTACACTACACTGGGGCTTTTACTACCAATTCAGAAACAGAATGTAAGAGAAGGAAGAGAAAGATTATGAGAGAGGGAAGATGTGAACACTTTTTCTAGGGCACTCCTGCTCAGTTGGGTAGACTAAGAGGTCTAGTTCATGGAGCAGTTGCTATGACCTTCTTTACAGCTCTATCAGGTACACACTGTTGTTACTAATTATAGTATCAATGATTCTACAAATCTATTTTTAGCATTGATGATTTGTTTATAGGTGCTTTTGTAGCTGGCCTGGATGCAGGGTTGGTCTATAATTCTTTTCCTAAGATGGCCGGACAGTGGATCCCTGATGATATACTTGCTCTGTCTCCTAAAATTAAAAACTTTTTCGAAAATCCAACCACAGTTCAATTTGATCACAGGATCTTAGTGAGACTAAAATTTCTAAAAATTTTAAAACTTTTTTTAATCTTAGGGTACATCGACTCTTCTCTTTGTTGTTGGTACATGGGCAATGGCTAGAGGAGTGGGACTGTCCCCACGTGCTCGTTTGGCTGTTAACTGTATGGCTGGAATGGCATTCATACAGGTGAGGTGATGTGTAGAATCGATGTATCTTATTGACACTAAGAGCTGCCAACAACAAAAAATGTATTAATGGCTTATGCTTTGTATTATTAATGTAGGTTGGTCTTGGTATCAGTACATTGCTCTATTATGTTCCAACGTCACTGGCAGCTGCTCATCAGTCTGGATCAGTCACTCTACTCTCACTGGCCATTTGGCTAATGCACGAGCTGAGAAAGAAAGCTCCAAAACTGTAGAATGAATGGTCTTGTTCAATTTTTTTTAACAAAAAGAGTATTTTTTCAATAGTATCTGCAGTATGTAATACATTTATTATAGAAACAATGTACATGTACCTAATAACTTTTTGTAAAAATTAATTATTGCAGGCTTTGCAGTTTGCAGCAATGTACTGGGTGTGGTCAATGAATTTTTAACCCATTAGTGCGTGGTGGACCTGGTAACAAAATGGCAGCTGAAGAGAAACTATTAGTGGTGGTTGGCATACACGAAGGTAAGGGACGAGGCTCCTCGTTAATTGTTTGTACTTAGTGACCTATGGACAGCTAACCCTCCCCTACTTTAAAACATAGAGACATTGTAGTTTCTTTATAGCCATACTCGCAGGGCGTGGCTGGTTTGTTTATTCACACTCTTCCATAGGCAGAGGTTTCCCTGCTAAACCCGGCCATGACCTCTTGATAGAAGTCAAGTTCTCTGGAGAGAGTTTACAATCTGATCCTGTTGATCATAATCAGATAACAGGGAGTGGACATATTGTTATCAATAATGAACTGGCTTGGGAGATGAGCAGGAAGGCACTACAGGAGCACAAGCTACAAAGGACACCGATCAAACTAATTGTAAGCGTTGAAGTGGATTGTTATGAGTGAGCTCTAAGTGTTTATACGTGTAGTTTACATTAGCTAAATAGATCTAATTACATGTATAATTGTATATACATGTATGGGACAATACTAATGTATTATGTTCTGGAAGGATTATTCTTTTTTCTCCTTCCCCTCTCTTTCTCTCAGTGTTATTGTGTCCATAGAATTACATTAAAGAGGATAGAATGCGGTAACATAAAGCTGGACTTGAGATCCGTGCAACAACCAAACCAACTAACAGTAAGTACACCATCTTTATCCATCTTTATCACTACTTTCCTCATCTCTTCCCTTCCCTTTCCTCTCCCTTTGCTAATAGGCCAATCACTGGTATAGTTTATTACAGTCACAGTATCCAGGAAAAAGACTTGAGTTAAGAATATCACTGACATCAGAGGCTGACAGTCAACAGCAACAACAACAACACTTTACAGAGGAAGAGGGGGAACTTAGTTGTAAGTCTTACATACCAACATCGTCATATTTCCTCTTTTACTGTTCTTATAGTTTCATCGTCTTCAGTTTCTCAAACCCCTCCCTCTTTTTCACTGCCTCCTATGATACTAGACGAGGGTAATGGTTGGTATTTGTTGGGTACTCCTAGCAGTCGTCAGAGACTCCACACTGTGTCCCTCACACTCTCACACCCACAGAACTTACACAAGGTAAGTACTGATGGTTAACAGCAATGGAGAGCTTATGATGTGTTTATTTATTATTCATTCTATATATTAATATATTTTATATTATATTCTATATGTATTTATTATATTTTAAAGTATATAATGTGTAGTATAAATTCAGATTCATTTATTTAATAGATTAGTACAGCAAAAGGCACCAGCTATCATTTCCGGTACTCATTACTCGGGAATGAAATAATGACTGAAGACTTTAAAGTACTGACTGATGTAAGCTCTGCTACCTCTTGATCATAGCATATGTACATATACATGTAATTATGTTTCTTCTTTAATAGCCGTGTGACTTTCAAGCCGAGAGGGCATCAGTCCGTGTCAAGTCAGAGCCTACTCTAATGAAGCAGTTACTATTAGCTCAACCGGATATACGGGTTAGTGAAACTAGTCTGACTACTTGTGTACTTACTCTCCCTCTCTCTAGGTTGATTTGATAAATGAGTCTATGGTAGTATTGTCTTCTGGTAGTGTTCCCATTAAACCTTTAGCTAATAGTCAGTTCTTTTCTGTCTCCTGCTCACTTACTAGTTCAAGTGGCTTGGGCGGAGGGACCACACCCAGTATTAACGTAACACTAGCAGTACAAGAGAACAAAGTGAAGCTAATATCATTAAAATATATGTTTATTTTTTAAATTTTATTTTATAGGAGAGTAGTGAGTCCCTTTCCCCAGTTCCATCACTCAAGGAAGGACAAGAAGAGGAAGATGGCCACAATGTCTCCAGCTCTTCATCTTCTGCCAGTTCTTCAACACCTCAACCTCCCCCCACTTCAAATACACTACCTGCTACAGCCCAGCCTCACTCAACTTCACAATCACCTGATGATAGACATGCTTCAGCTAAGAGGAATTTAGCACAAGTAAGATGATCTAAGATCCCTTCCCCTTATTTTAAGTATACACAATATTGTCAATAATTTTTACTTGCTGTCTTTTTATTATTTTTGTTCTTTTATTTTTATGTTTTAGTCTTTTGAAGAAGTGTCTAGTTCATCTCCACCAGGAAGGGGTTCCTCTTTTAAACCATCGACTAGTCTAGCTTCTCCTCGCTCGCTAAGTCCTCCGGTGACCACGCCCACTGTATCGTCTCCACCCAGAATAACCTTCACTTCTCCCAAGACGAGTCCTTTGCTGTTATCCCAGTCCGTGGGAGGAGGGGGAGGGCGAAAAGGAGGAGAGAAAAGAGTCATGCAATCGCATCAGAAATACTCTTCGCTCATTGCTGGTTCCTCTCCTACTTCTTCTCCTCTTAAAACCAGCAATGTAACACAGTCTGGAGGAGGTACGTGTGTTATAGGGAGCCCTCCTATTTAATTGATTAATGTTAATTGTACAGGTACTCTCTTGTTTGATCAGTTGACGTCACGTCCCACTGGAGCTAAAGGAAGAGAGGTAGTGGCAGGTCCCACTACTAGAGGGACAGTCCCTCATTCCTCTTCAGCCCCTAAGCCTCAGTTGGAATATCAAACTGCCATGGAGCTTGAGTTGTGGAAAATGCAACAAGAAGAGGAATTTATGAAAGGACTCAAGTGAGCTCATAATGCGTCTCTCATTATGACGTCATTATGATGTCATTATGATGTCATTATGGTGTGATAGGGAAAAAGAAGAAACTCAACTGAAGCTACTGGCAGAAGAATTTCAAAAGAGAGATAAACAGAGAGAAGACGTTTTGAAACAAAAAGTAAAGGACCTGCTTTATCTTTCTTAAATCAATATTTCCTTTGCTAGATGGATTATTATCAAAGTCTAGAGGGACAGCTGGCGAAAACTCTTAAAGAGTTAGAGTCACAGAGACAGAAACTGAAGGCAAGAGAGCAAGACATGGTATCCACACAAAGAAGACTTGAAGATGAACAAAGGTCAGAGAGAGAGAACTATATGAAGTTGCATTATTGTGTGTGTTAATTCATAATACACTGTAGGTCTCTTCAGTATGATGCTAAACGGGAGAAAGGACTGCTTCTGTCTGAACTGGAAGGAAACATTCAAATTGAAAAGTAAATATTGCAGCAACAATACTTTGTTACATAATTCAATAAAAATAGACTCAAATCAAAGGAACTTGCCATTCAGTTGGATAGAGCAAGGAGACAGGTCAGTGAGCTGGAGAATAAACTCCTTCAGAGAGAAGCTGAGTTTGAAATGTATAAAGACAAGATTCATTCACAATCGTCGGAGACACAGCTACAAACAGAACTAGGGCTATTGAAACTAGAGAAGGTAAGAGAAAGAAACATAGCGTAGTACTAGGATGGTATTATGATATTAATTATAATCCAATGTATTTCAATTTAGGCTGAATTGGAGCACAAGCTAGAAACAGTGACAAAGTCGAAGCAGCATTACAAAGATGAGTGGAGCAAGGCACTGAAGGAGGTAGCATCACTGAAGCACAGGGAGCAAACTGTAATGAGGGACCAACTCAAGAAGCAGCAGCTGGAGCTGGAGGCTATGAGAGTCAAGTATCTCAGAGCTGAAGAGCAGCAGTCCTTACAGCAACAGCTCCAACAGATTAAAGATGAGACACAAAGGTTGGATGTTTTATCATTTTAGAAAATATTTTGAAATCATTTTATCCCAATGGTCGATGCTGAACTCTATCATCAACTCTTATTATTTCTTTTCTCTTTTTCTTTTATTTTTACTGATAGATTACGTGCTCAAGCGTTATCAAAGACACCTGTACCAGGATCCCCTCGCCATACTCCTACCCGACAAACCACCCCCATACTCACCTCACCACGTCTCCAAACCATCGACGCTAACATTGCCAGATGGATTGAAGAGAGGAACATCCTCCTACAGACTGGAGTGTACACTCATGCTGACCCAACCATACAGAAACTGGACAAGAAGATACAGGAAGCATTATTAGAGAAGAGATCAACTTATAATTCTAGTTCTTAATACCTTTTCAGGCACATGAGACTCTAACCCACACAGCCCCTGTCTATATTTTCTGTATCATCACACAATGTACTGCTATTAGAATTAGCTCTAGAGTTCTTACTTATCTTTTACCCATTTTACCACCTAAAGAAATTTAAAAAATAATTAATTGTTTTGTTAATTTTAGAATTCTTGAACTTTTAATTATTGGGTGTGGCTCAATAATTATTAAATTATTATTTATTTATGAGCCACACATGCTTCTTAAAGACCACGTGTTTGTGTACTTTCATCATGTCTGCCCCGAGTCCTCCTATTGCTTCTCCTGTCCCTCCTGTAGTCGTCCCTACGCCATCACCTCAGGCTTCTAGCCCAGAGTCTCCTCCACTCAAGAATCCAGGGGAATATGAAGAGATAGGGAAAAAGACAAAAGGTATTTTTGTATTAAAATAAGTCAAGTATTCAGCACATATTAAAATTAAAAATAAAATTATTTCAATTATCCTGATTTTGAGGAATGAGCACTGTAACTTTTTATCTGTTGGTGGAGAGAATTTGCATGGGGAATTCCACTTTTTATATGATTTTTGTAATTTTACTGGTAGAGTCTATTCTTCCAAGCAATTTTGATGGTTGCAAGTTAGTCTTACAGAAAGGTCTGAGTCAGCACTTTCAGACATCACATACGGTCACTTTGGGCTCAAGCTCTGCTCCTTCTCAGTGGCAGTTTGGAGCCACTTATGTGGGACACAATAAAGTTGGAGAGAATGATGTGAGTCTTAGCAATTGAACAAGAAATAGTGTAGCCATTCCCATACACAAGGCAGACCTATTGCAGTTACTTTAATGTTGTAAGGATGTATAATGTTGCCTTGAATAGACCTGCTAGCTATTCTTGGCTATTTTGGGCCTAAAGATCAAAGTAACCACGAATTTCCAGCAATAGATTTAGTTGTGGGCCTAGTCTTTAGTACCAATGTGTTAGCTAGTGAAATAAAATTAGCAAGTTTATTATTATGAGTTATTATTATTATTCTAGTTTCGTCCAGTTCTTCTTGGAGACATTGGTACCACTGGTAATTTCACTGGTGTCTTCCTGCATCAGTACAAAAACCTGAAACTAAGGATCAATGCACAAGTATTATGCAACAGACACCTGAGCATTATGCAGGATTAAATTCTTATTTTAGACTCAAGGCTCTAAGTGGGTAGGATATCAGGGGACTGCTGATTATCTTGGACAGGATTACACAGGATCATTAACATTAGCTAACCCTGATGTCATATCAGGATCAGTCATTGCTGTTGCACAATATTTGCAATCACTAACTTCAAGGCAAGTGGAGCAACCAACCATCACTTACTCTGTCTCTTTAGGTTAAGTTTAGGGACAGAGTTACTAATACAGAAAGGTGGTGGTATGGAATTGGGTGCACTCTCCGTTGGAGGAACATACAAGACATCATCTTGGGAGGCTGCAGCTAAAATAGGAATGCAGTGGTACCTTTCATATGTACAGAAAATACCAAATGTTAAGGTAAGAGAAATCAGTTTATTTATTTAATTGTACAGAGTATTGATGTCCTTAAGGCTTATGCTATGTAGAAAGTTTGAGCCAATTCTGACGTCAATTTTTCAAATTATGACCATTAAAAATATGCTATTTTCTGAAAATACCCAAGGCTATAGCCTTTTTTCAAAAATTGGCTCCAAAATCACCCCCAATTTATATCACATTTTCTGATGCATATTGATGTCCTTATGCTATGTAGAAATTTTGAGCCGATTCTGACTTCAATATTTTGAGTTATGACCATTTTAAAAATATCTAATCAACTTATTACTTACTGTATGATAGGAGCTAACACTAGTAGCTGAATGTGAAGGTAGTCTGATGAGTGGTGAGACTGTATCAGCCATTGGATATCGCTACGACGTTGGCAACGGCTCTGCCACATTTAAAGGCAAAGTGGACTCAAAATGGACAATAGGTGCACTAATAGAGAAGAGATTGGACCCACTACCAGCCAACCTTCTTATAAGTGGACAGCTCAACCACATAAATAATGAAGCTAAATTTGGGGTTGGTTTCATGATTGGCTAAAGATTATAAGTTAATGTATGTATGTATGTGTGTATGTATCATTTTGGAAAATTGGATTTTTTGTTATTAAGTTATTATTTAATGTACTTATTATTATTATTTACATGTGTATTTAATGTATAATAATGGTAGCACTCTATGAGTGTTAATATTTATTAGATTGTTAATAATTATACAAATATTTTTATGGTGAACCGTATGCTTCTCTTGAAGTGGTTAAAAAGGAGTTGTACTGCTGTTTTGCTTGTGGGAGATCAAGAGATGGTTGGTGGCCAGGGAAAGCTCTGTATGTTTCTGGAAAAGACATTTCGTCTTAATACATCTTTATTTTCTATTATATAATACCTGTGCTGCGACTTTTTGGAAGTGTCTGGGGATTTTTCTTTGGCTGAGAGTAACCAGCTTTGTATGTTGTTTCAAAATAATGATCATACTACAGGAATTGAAAGGTTGCATGCAATTATTTGATTCTTGAAGTTGCAAAAAATGTGTGAGTTGCAATAGATGCATAGATGTAAGTAAGAAATAACTCATTGAAAGATGAAACTTTCATCATTGCTTTGCATGCATTATCTGTGCTTTAGGTCTAAAGTCTTACTTGTGATGGCAATGGTTTTGCCTTACTAAGTGACTTGACGTCAAACTTCTCTTCGTTCCAGTTTCCAACTAAAGTGTCTGTCGAGTAGTTGCTCTCGTTGGTTGTTGTCCTCCAGCCGAACTGTTGGAACTTTTTCATGTCGAACTCATCGTCCCATACCTCGGCCTGCCCGCTGGCCTTGAGAAAACCAGTGAAACTAGGCTGCTCGACTGCCATTAGATTGACACTGATCAGAGTGTGAAAATTTTAGCTCCAGCAAGCTACGAGCCACACCTTTGTAACTATGGTAACATATTGAGCCACACCCATAATAATCATGGTGGCTGTGGTCATCAGTTGATGATAATCAATGGCTCTTGTTCCTGGTCTAGGGATTGGTATTGGTCTCCTGGTATTGGTAATTGTATGGGCACTATCAATAGTAGCTGTAGTTATATTGGCATTCATACCAAAAGCTAGGTAAGACAATTATTAAAAATAAAATTTAGATCTTTATATATACATAATTTCCCTCTTTTATGTTAATAGATATGGTATCCCTGTTGTTTTATTGATCCTCGTGTTGGCAAATCTAATCCTTTTCCTCTACCCACGTTCCGACTCCAGTCAGCCCTCCCCCGCCATAGAAGACATTGATAATCTCTTTATTGTGCGTATCTCGTTGTTGCTCCTGATAGCGGTCAGTGTTGCTATCAGTTGCTCATTGATTGGCGCACTGCATTGGGCAGTCCCAATCCGTGCAAGACTTTTGCACAGTAAACAACAACAACAATAATAATAACAAGGAAAGGACAATGACAACTATATTTGTGACAAATCACTAGTTCTTTAGCTTTTCTTTTCTTTCCTTTTTTTCTTCATGGACCCCTCCTCTTTAATAATAATGATGATAATAATAATAATAAATATAAAATAAATAAATAAATAATCACTTACAATGAATCTAACAGCAAAATGAGTAGCTTCGGTCGACTTATTAGTCTGTGCGGGAGCTGATATTTGTCCTGATGGGAGGACTCCAATGTGCGACCCCATCTCAGATGCACTCTCAAATACAGCATACTGCCCATTGGAAATGGTAGCATAGAAGTCACAGTCTTTGCCACCTTGACCCTGAGGGGATGCAGCAAAGAAATGAAAGATATACAATATCCTTATTGAAATTGACTCACAACCCACTTAGGCCCCAAAGTCAACTTAGCACATTCTGTGTACAAGTCAGCAATGCCTTCAATTTATAGTTTAGCTGCTTACATTCCCAATGAAGTATCCTCTGTTAATGGCAAGGAAGTATTGGGGCTGATACACATTATGGAGTCTGATAGTGTTTGGGATACTGCCCTGAAGTATCATGAAATGACCTATAAAGATTATTAAACGTTAATAAGGTTGTACTAATAGTAAAGGTATGTCTGGAACTGACATAATTGTTTATACTGTAGCAATGAAACTATTACAAATAGCTGCACTATGATCTATTATGTTGGGTGGATTGACACTTTAGAGATAAAGGTGTAAATAATAACGTGAACAGGATAAGCCAATGTTTACATATTGGAATCTACACTAGGATTAGTCATGAGTAAATAAATGATTAAACTGATTTATTGCACCACTTAATACTACGAATTAAGAATATCACTCACAAGGAGATGCCTTTGGTCCTCCCTCTCCATAGCAATCCACTGCACCAGTCTCTGTCACACGGAGACACTTCCCGCCAAGCTTTGAAGTCAACTGGACGACATTACCAGGCCTGAGTCTATCCTGCATGATGAACATGTTGCAATGTATTATATATTGATGCCATAATAAATATAAAAGTGTATTGCTTACACCAATGGTGAGATTCATCCCATCATCAACAACTCTTTGTATATCTTTCCCGGCATCATTTAAGGCCTTCTCTATGTTTCCCTAAAAGCAAAAATAACAGGAAAGCTAAAGAAAAAGCTACTAACCAGAAAGGACATTTTGGAAAATAAAATGACTCAGTCAGCTGTGGTCGTGGCTATTAACTTGAGCCCCACCCATGAGCAGTACTCCCACGCTTACTTCAGCTGATATCAGTGTCTCATATCATAGATGGAGAGTGACAATTCCTCGGCAGAGATTCCCATATCCGAGCCACCTTACTGTGTTGGTGGGCATCTCAATATCATTCCTGGTTATATCAGAGTGATTGCTGCTATCACATGCGCTCTCTCCATACTGGGAGCAGCCCTTATCATCTTATCTTATGTCTTCTTCAAGGACCTGAGGAATAAAGCCAGGGAGGTTATAGTCCACATCTCTGCTATGGACCTCCTAACGGTGGCAGCAAACCTTTTTGGGATTATAATAAATTTTGACTCTCATCTCTATCATGAGGACCCACTTGTACTCCCCCCACACTACGAGACTTACAACACTCTATGCAAAGGCCAGGCCACAATAGCAGTGTTTGGTAACCTCTCCTCAGTCCTATGGACAATAGCCATAGCCGTCTACTTTTACATATGCATAATGACAGACAACAAGAAAACTGCTAAACGATCTCTTTATTTCTTTTACTTGATCTGCTATGGACTCCCACTCTTAATAGTGGTCTGGTTCCTGCCCACTGGTAAACTAGGGTATGCACCTGTTGGGGGATCAGGCTGGTGCTCTTTTGTAATTGACTCAAATCCAACTGAGAAATTAGATTCGAGTAAGAAATTAGATTCAAGGGATATTATTACACTGTTCTTTGGTAACAGTCTTTGGATGTATGTTTCGTTTATCATCATACCTTTCATATGTATCTCACTTTTAGTGTATCTTAGACTAAAAGTAAGTGCATCAGCTTAATAAAAAAAAACCTCTTTTACTATTATTAAAATATAGACAAAAAAGAAGGAAATTTCAAATCAAGATAAACTCAGGATGAACATGATAGAAGTGAAGCTATTGGCAGTACCAATCATATTTGTATTCCTGAGAATATGGAGTGAGCTCCTTGGAATCATTACAGTGTACTCTAATAATAAATCTTGCACACTTGTAACAATTCTGCTAGTCCTAGGGGTAAGTGTTGTATCCATTACCATGTATGTTATCTTTAAACAAACAAACACCTTTCTATAACTCATGAGTCATGACACTATTTCTCTCCTATTAAGGGAATCGGTGACTCTGGGCAAGGCTTCTTTAATGCTTTGATTTTCTGTCTGTTAAATGCTAAAGTTCGAAGTGCTTATTTCAAGTGCATTAAAAAGAGCTACAAGGCTTGCAAGACTTGGAAGTGTGAGAAGATAGAAATGAAAAGTCGATTGATTGTTAACCCTGATGAAATTGATACCGATCAGGCTTCGACACAAGAATAGCATTATATTAAAGAGATTTGTTATAAGTAAGAAACTATAACACAAGTATCTTATCTTGTTGCTTTGTAAACATATTTTAAAGAATTGAACACTGTTAATAATACTTGTTTTTTATGTCTTTGGTATAAATTCATTGAAAGACAAACACATGATACACATTGAATGAGAATGTTTGAAAAACAAAACAATATACAATCAAAGAGGAGAAAGAGAGAAAGTAAGAGAGATGAGAAGTGTATGTCACTTGTAATGTGGAGGAGAGGTTGACCGAGACCGTCGATTACTTCGATTCTGAAACGGCGACCTTTGTCTGTCCCTGCTCCGCGAGCGACTCCTTCTATGTCTATCATTACTACTACTACTGCCGCTGTATAGAAAACGTCTAAAAATAAAATAAATATAAAAATTATCAAGAATATTCTCTTTACTTTAGTTCTCGAGATATTGGCTTGAGATGCATAAAATTGCAAAAGCCTCCGCGAGTGCATTCCCTGTTACACGATAAACAGTTCAAGTGACAATCAGGCGAGTCTTACCCCATGTCATACTGTCTGCAACACGCCTCCTTAAAGTCGGTCACCGGAGAGAGTTCGGCGTGTATCGGGTGCCCGTTGAACCAGCGGTTGTTGAGCGACTGGACGGCTTTCTCGGCATCTTCCTCAAAACGAAACTGGATATATGCTGTGTGGATTATAAGAGAAGAGTTATATATGACAGACCTTGATGTAGACATTTCCAACAAGATGATCACCCAAGTTATCACACACATTCATTTTTTCAATGGGGCCATACTAGGAGAGAGAAGGAGAGTGTGCGTATGTACAGTATAGGTATAGAGAGGGAAGGGGTAATGTGTCAGGAGGGAGTAGGCAAACACAACGTAATTAATGTGTTTACTTTCTCTTCGCATTCAATAAAGACATCTTCAAAGAACTCTTCGTAATGAGCCTGCTCAACTTCAGGACTTACAGCTAGGAATGAAACTGAAATGATCAATGTATTTCAATACTAGCGTACTCATTAAGCCACTGGGGTTCTGCGTTGAATTGTTGGGGTTCTGGTACATATTCTGAAGTACAATAGTCTGATGTTACAAAAATATAAAATACTTTGAATGCTTTCCTTATAAACCCACTTGACTAAAAGTTGGTTTGTTGTGGAGTCTTGAGCATCTTTCTCCGTGTCTGCAGGCTCCGATTTTAAAATAGAATGAACAATTGACTCTAAGCAGAACATACAAGGCATCATACAACAATCTTGTACTTACTTGTCTTTTTCTGTACCAAAAATAGATGCTAAATACTCCGCCATGTTGACACATGGACATTTGGTCACGCCTCTTTTTCTTGAGAGCATTGGTCACGCCCATCACAATGGCGTCAGTCAGTGAAGAGCAAAATGATGCCTTAAAAATAGCCATTGAAAAGAGGAGAGAGGAAACTCATAAAGCAGAAGAAACTCAAGATTATTTTGAGGCAGAGTTTGCCACAAAGAAGAAGGAAGTTGATGGTCAATATTTAAATTAATTATTTTAAATTTTTTAAGTTTATTATATTTTTTATAGACTTAGTAGCTTCAATCCCTCAAACCCCAAAGGAATCTTTAAAAGATACTTTTGCTGAAATTTCCAAAAAGCTTAATGGACTAACAAAGCTAATATCTGACTCATCACTTTTTATAGCACCATTCACTGTCAAGACATACCACCGAGTGAGACAAAAATATTATTTTATTTATTTACTTATTAACTTTATGAATAGACAAACAATATGTCAATGTGTAATTCTGTATGAAATAATAATTATATTAGGCATCTCGTTTCTCTCTAGAAAGTATTTGAACTCCAACAGTTAGTAAATAAGAGTGAGGAAGAGTTGCTCCCAAAGCAGAAGTTTTCTTTTAAATCTCGTACAAAGAAGACTGCAACTTCAAAGACGTCTGATAAGGTTATTGATCCTCTACCAGAACTAGGGACTAGTGCATTTACTGCTTCAAATGCTGTTGTTGTGAAAGAAAGGAATGACAGTACCATTGACTTACAGGTACTTATTTACTTGTAATGTTACTATTAGTTTTCATGCATGCAATTTTTCATGCCAAAAATGGCTGTGAATCTTTAGCATCAATACTTTTATGCTGCATAGAAAGTTTAACTATTTTCAATAGCAAATTCTTCAGTCATCATAAGTTCATAAGCTGGGTTTCTCACAGGATTTTGGCATAGTGTTCAGCCCTTTTTAGTGAATTTTAAAGTTGGTCAAAATCAAAAATGTGATGATCAAAGTCCCTGTACTATAGTACAGGGTTTTTGGCCAAATTTTGCCAAAAATGACTAAGAGAAAATTCTCCATTTTTATAATTTTTCCTGATACATATACATGTTTTTGTGTTCCATAGAAAGTTTGAGCTGATTTCGACCATAATTGGATTTTTTATGAATTTTTTGAGTTGCTCAAAAATCGGACCAAACTCCCTGTACTATAGTACAGGGTCTTTGACCAAATTTCGTCAAAAATGACTAGGAGAGAATTCTCCATTTTTATAATTTTTTTTGATACATATACATTTTTTATGTTGTGTAGCAAGTTTGAGCTGATTCCGATTAAAATTAGATTTTTTATGATTTTTTAAAGCTACTCAAAAATCGAACCAAAGTCCCTGTACTATAGTACAGGGTTTTTGACCAAATTTCATCAAAAATGACTAGGAGAGAATTCTCCATTTTAATAATTTTATCTGATGCATATACATGTTTTTATGTTGTGTAGCAAGTTTGAGCTGATTCCAATTAAAATTAGATTTTTTATGAATTTTTAAAATTTGCTAAAAAATCTGGCAAAATTCCTTAATTTATAGTGACAATAAAAGAAATGGGTTTTTGCTTGTCACAGATTTGTGACAATGGACCAAATGGGCTTCTTTACAAAATTTGTCAAAATTTTCTACCAAAATTCTTAATTTTATTTGAGGAAACCCTAGGACTATAGCTACATGCTGCTTCCACTGCTTTGTAGGTATAATTGTATTAGTTCTGTGTACCACTATAATCTTGTTACTGGTGTTTTTGTTTACTGTTCTATGATTGCATTATGGTTCCTAATGTGTAGCCTTCAGAAGTTAATGGCTCTGATGTCGTTTTTTCTGATTTGTCTTCGTGCACTGTTAGAATATATGGCACTCCAGGAGCTCTGACCATCAGTAAATGCACAGGCACAAAGTAATGAGCCTTCAATAAACCATTACTCTAAAACCTGATTAGGATATTATCTGGTCCCATTCAGAGATCAATCTTTGTCGAAGACTGCAGCAATTCTCATTTCGTTGTGTCTTGTCAGCAAGTAAGAGCTTTCATTGAACTGCTTGTCACATTATTATATGTGTCTGTAGCTTCGTGTACACTCAACCACCAACTCAGTATTCTATCTCCATGTTACTAGTCGGCCTATAATTGAAGATTCAAAGGGACTCCAGTTTGCCCCTTACAACTGGTCCTATCCGGATTATAATGATCATCTACTTGTAAGGAAAAAAGTTTTTATGTAGAGTATTTCTCACTTTGTTACCTTTGTAGCTATCAGGGCTGTCGCCTGAAGTCAATAACTGGGATAAAGTTAATGATTTTAATTGGCTTTCATCCAAAGAACATTCACCAAACTGGTCAATCTTGCCACAGGCTCATAGAGAGTCAAACTTGGGGGAATAATAATTAATCTTTCTTTTTAAAAAATGCTATTTTTATGTATGTGTGCATGTGGGTATGCCTAACCTATAGTCACTATAATGTGTTAATATTGTCAAACCCTATTATCCTACTCAGTTCACTTAGTTCATGAATAATAAACTTTTAATGGTTCTGCTTAGTCTCTTCTCTGTTAGTCATTGTCAGTTTCTTGTTTTTGAATTTTCTGTAGAAATAGTACCCAATAATGACTCCTACCACGATCAGGATGATACCCAAGAATAGGGATGGGTAGAAGACAAGATCGTACCATTTGAACAAACTGATGTTCACAAAGTGTATCCCTACACACGTTCCAGTCAGACGCATCATGACACAGAACGAGTCTCTGTCCTGGTGTATGACAGGATCAAATCGACTGCGTATAGTCAGGGTTGATACTGTGCCTGTTCGAAGTGTCGTCGTATCAATTGCAAGAGCATTTGTGGCTTCATAGTCATAACCAGTCGAGTTATACTCTATTGTATTGATGTAGGAGCAACTTGGATCGTCTTCACAACGAATGAAATAATATGAATTTACTGTTATGTTTAGGACAGCTGGCATATCTGGCATTACTTCTATGCAGTAGATGTTTTCTGGGGGGCTAGCACAGGCAATGCGATTGAAATTTGATTCTTCGTTTTCTCTGGCATCAGCCTGTGAGACAAAAAGGAAGATTCTTAATGGGCTGCAGATTCTTGAAGTACAATTGGGATTGACAGTGAAGGTGACGGTCGAACTTCGAATGTAATATTGGTCGTTTCGATTAACTGGCGATCTGTTAGTTGTGATGGTGCTCTCGTTTTTGAGTACAATATTCCTGCAGTCAACAAGCAGAGCTTGTCCAGTACATGATCCAGCACCTAATAATGATAGCTTGATGCTCCTCAGCCAATATATGAGGCTTGTCTCTTGCGTATAAAGAACTGTATCATT